ACACACATGCACATACACACATGCACACACACATGCACATACACATGCACACACACATGCACATACACACATGCACACACACATGCACATACACATGCACACACACATGCACATACACACATGCACACACACATGCACATACACATGCACATACACATGCACATACACACATGTACACACACACATGCACATACACACATGTACACACACATGCACATACACACATGTACACACACATGCACATACACACATGTACACACACACATGCACATACACACATGTACACACACACATGCACATACACATGCACACACACATGCACATACACATGCACACACACATGCACATACACATGCACACACACATGCACATACACATGCACACACACATGCACATACACACATGCACACACACATGCACATACACATGCACACACACATGCACATACACACATGCACACACACATGCACATACACATGCACACACACATGCACATACACACATGCACACACACATGCACATACACATGCACACACATATGCACATACACATGCACACACACATGCACATACACATGCACACACACATGCACATACACATGCACACACACATGCACATACACATGCACACACACATGCACATACACATGCACACACACATGCACATACACATGCACATACACATGCACATACACATGCACATACACACATGCACACACACATGCACATACACATGCACACACACATGCACATACACATGCACATACACATGCACATACACACATGTACACACACACATGCACATACACACATGTACACACACACATGCACATACACACATGTACACACACACATGCACATACACACATGTACACACACACATGCACATACACACATGTACACACACACATGCACATACACACATGCACACACACATGCACATACACATGCACACACACATGCACATACACATGCACACACACATGCACATACACATGCACACACACATGCACATACACATGCACACACACATGCACATACACATGCACATACACATGCACATACACATGCACATACACACATGCACACACACATGCACATACACATGCACACACACATGCACATACACATGCACATACACATGCACATACACACATGTACACACACATGCACATACACACATGCACACACACATGCACATACACACATGTACACACACACATGCACATACACACATGTACACACACACATGCACATACACACATGCACACACACATGCACATACACATGCACACACACATGCACATACACATGCACACACACATGCACATACACATGCACACACACATGCACATACACATGCACATACACATGCACATACACATGCACACACACATGCACATACACATGCACACACACATGCACATACACATGCACATACACATGCACATACACATGCACATACACACATGCACACACACATGCACATACACATGCACACACACATGCACATACACACATGCACACACACATGCACATACACATGCACACACACATGCACATACACACATGCACACACACATGCACATACACATGCACACACACATGCACATACACACATGCACACACACATGCACATACACATGCACACACATATGCACATACACATGCACACACACATGCACATACACATGCACACACACATGCACATACACATGCACACACACATGCACATACACATGCACACACACATGCACATACACATGCACACACACATGCACATACACATGCACACACACATGCACATACACATGCACATACACATGCACATACACATGCACATACACACATGCACACACACATGCACATACACATGCACACACACATGCACATACACATGCACATACACATGCACATACACACATGTACACACACACATGCACATACACACATGTACACACACACATGCACATACACACATGTACACACACACATGCACATACACACATGTACACACACACATGCACATACACACATGTACACACACACATGCACATACACACATGCACACACACATGCACATACACATGCACACACACATGCACATACACATGCACACACACATGCACATACACATGCACACACACATGCACATACACACATGCACACACACATGCACATACACATGCACACACACATGCACATACACACATGCACACACACATGCACATACACATGCACACACACATGCACATACACACATGCACACACACATGCACATACACATGCACACACACATGCACATACACATGCACACACACATGCACATACACATGCACACACACATGCACATACACACATGCACACACACATGCACATACACACATGCACACACTCATGCACATACACATGCACACACACATGCACATACACACATGCACACACACATGCACATACACATGCACACACACATGCACATACACACATGCACACACACATGCACATACACATGCACACACACATGCACATACACATGCACACACACATGCACATACACACATGCACACACACATGCACATACACATGCACACACACATGCACATACACATGCACACACACATGCACATACACATGCACATACACATGCACATACACATGCACATACACACATGCACACACACATGCACATACACATGCACACACACATGCACATACACATGCACATACACATGCACATACACACATGTACACACACACATGCACATACACACATGTACACACACACATGCACATACACACATGTACACACACACATGCACATACACACATGTACACACACACATGCACATACACACATGTACACACACACATGCACATACACACATGCACACACACATGCACATACACATGCACACACACATGCACATACACATGCACACACACATGCACATACACATGCACACACACATGCACATACACATGCACACACACATGCACATACACATGCACATACACATGCACATACACATGCACATACACACATGCACACACACATGCACATACACATGCACACACACATGCACATACACATGCACATACACATGCACATACACACATGTACACACACACATGCACATACACACATGTACACACACACATGCACATACACACATGTACACACACACATGCACATACACACATGTACACACACACATGCACATACACACATGTACACACACACATGCACATACACACATGTACACACACATGCACATACACACATGTACACACACACATGCACATACACACATGCACACACACACATGCACATACACACATGTACACACACATGCACATACACACATGCACACACACACATGCACATACACACATGTACACACACACATGCACATACACACATGTACACACACACATGCACATACACACATGTACACACACACATGCACATACACACATGTACACACACACATGCACATACACACATGTACACACACACATGCACATACACACATGTACACACACATGCACATACACACATGTACACACACACATGCACATACACACATGTACACACACACATGCACATACACACATGTACACACACACATGCACATACACACATGTACACACACACATGCACATACACACATGTACACACACATGCACATACACACATGTACACACACACATGCACATACACACATGCACACACACACATGCACATACACACATGTACACACACATGCACATACACACATGCACACACACACATGCACATACACACATGTACACACACACATGCACATACACACATGTACACACACACATGCACATACACACATGTACACACACACATGCACATACACACATGTACACACACACATGCACATACACACATGTACACACACACATGCACATACACACATGTACACACACATGCACATACACACATGTACACACACACATGCACATACACACATGTACACACACGCATGCACATACACACATGTACACACACACATGCACATACACACATGTACACACACACATGCACATACACACATGTACACACACACATGCACATACACACATGTACACACACACATGCACATACACACATGTACACACACACATGCACACACACACATGTACACGAGGGGGGACGTAGAAAATATGGGAGACACATTTGGGGCGGCACAGAAGGAGGGTGGAGTGGAGTGGATGAGAGGGCATGGGTGGGTGTGGCAGTGGGCAAGAACCAAGCAGACGAGATGGTCGCGTGCTGCCAAGGAGGCATGGAGGAAAAGGCAGAAGCAGGGAAGGAGGCACGGAGGCAAGGAGTGAAGGAAGCAAGGAGACAAGGAGGCATGGAGGCAAAGTAGGCATGGAGGCAAAGAGACAAGAAGGAAGGAGGCAGGGAGGCAAAGGGGCAAAGAGGCAAAGAGACAAGTAGACAAAGGGGCAAGGAGGCAAGGATGCAAGGAGGCAAGAACGCAAAGAGGCAGAGATGCAAAAATGACAAGAGCCAAAGAGGCAAAAATGCGAAGAGGCAAAGAGACAAGGAGGTAAAGAGGCAAAGAGACAAGGAGGCAAGGAGGTAAAGAGGCAAAGAGGCAAGGAGGTAAAGAGGCAGAGAGGCAAGGAGGTAAAGAGGCAAAGAGACAAGGAGGTAAAGAGGCAAAGAGGCAAGGAGGTAAAGAGGCAAAGAGGCAAGGAGGTAAAGAGGCAAAGAGACAAGGAGGTAAAGAGGCAAAGAGGCAAGGAGGTAAAGAGGCAAAGAGGCAAGGAGGTAAAGAGGCAAAGAGGTAAGGAGGCAAGGAGGCAAGGAGGCAAGGAGGCAAAGAGGTAAGGAGGCAAGGAGGCAAGGAGGCAAAGAGGCAAGGAGGCAAAGAGGTAAAGAGGTAAGGAGGCTCACAGACTGCCAGTGCTGAGGAGCCTCTGGCTCGTCCTCATCCACTTCAGCCCCTTTCTCCTCTGCCCTCAGTTGAGCTGCACCTGCTTCTTCTGCTGCTGCCCCAACTGCTGGCCCCTCCTGCCCCCCTGCAGCAGACTCAGCAGCACTCTTCTTGGTCCCCCGTCTGCCCCCTCGTTTGCCCTTGCTGCTGCTGCCAGCCACGCCTGCTGCTGTGCGTGTAGAGGCCTCTGTGGTAGTGGAGGGAGCTGCTGCTGATGTTGCCTGGATGGAGGAAAGAAAGTGAGGAGGAGACGTGGGACAGACAGACGGATGAGAAGGGAGCAGCAAGAGGTGAGGAGCATTGCAGTGGAGTAAGGGAAACCGCTGTTTGAAAAAATAATGCGTGCTGTGGAAGGAAGAAGGCGAAGAGGAAAACAAGGGGAACTGAGCATGGCAGCGACAACACCAGGTACCAGAAAGTGGGGTGAGGAGAAGTAGAAGCACCTTGGCAGCACTCTTTCGAGCGCCCATGGCAGAGGCAGCAGCACGGGCAGCAGCAGCAGCAGTGGGGGGAGGGGCCATGCGAGCGCGGGTGTGGCAGGCTCTGAGGGCGGTGAGCGCGTCTAAGAGGAGCTGCAGCGTGCGCGGAGACACCGCACGCGCTGGCTGCAGCACGTGAGTGGTGAGCTGCAAGGAGGGAGGGGGTTGGGGCGGAGAGAGGAGTGCTTTGATAATAACTAAAAGTGTGGCAGGCTCTGAGGGCGGTGAGCGCGTCTAAGAGGAGTTGCAGCGTGCGAGGTGGATGCAGCACGTGTGTGGTGAGCTGCAGGAGGGGTGGGGGTGGGGGAAGGGGGTGGTGGGAGAGAGAGTGTGGTTCTGACGATTCTTAAAGGGTGTGGCAGGCAGGCTCTGATCTGAGGGCTGTTAGCGCGTCCAATAGGAGCTGCAGGGGAGATACCCCCGCACTGGATGCAGCACGTGGGAGGGCAGGGTGGTGTGAGAGGAGAGGCAGAAAGGAGGGGTTGAGAGGGGGACGGGGGACATTGAGGTTGAGCAGAATAAGCAGTAGAAGCGGATGGGCAGGAAGGGGGGAGATAGTAGAGAGAGAAAGGGCACGAGAGGGGCGGAGGAGATGGGTTGACTTATTTTAGCAGAGGAGAGGGCGACCCACCTGGGTTGAGATAGTGCGGCAGAGGAGACTGGTGGGTGCATGCGAGGCAGCGAGGGTGGCGAGTGTGTGGGGGAGGAGCAGTGCAGCGAGTGAGGCGTTCACACGGCACAGCGGCGCACACAGACTGGGGGAAGTGGGGGGCGGGGTGGGAGGAGGGGAGCATTGGACAGGGTGGCTCGCAGAGAAAGGGAGTGAAGAAGGGAAGGAGACTTGCATGTTGGTGAGTGAGTGCTTGATGCAAACTGGGGAGGGACGAAGAGCGCATAATGCAGATAGGGAGGGCAGAGTCAGGCATGCACTCTACAGAACTGGCACAGGTTTCAAGATTCGGTGATGGAGCGGAGAGACGAATGCTAGAATTCTCACTGTTCCTCGTTGATGGTAATGGAATGCTGCCTGGCAGGATTTGTAGGGTTCTCACAAGCCAACCAACTCTGCCAGCCACAATGCTAGTGCCACCCAGCACCCCAAACCATTCAAATTCGTCACTCACGTGAGAATGTCGTCTGGCACGTGCAGAATGAGCAAATGCACCACGCGGCACACCCACGCCTCGTGAGATGCGCCCACTGCCTGCCACACTGCGGGGTCGTCCAGTGGAGGCATGGAGGCTGGAGAGAGAGAGCGAGGGACAGAGAGACAGAGAGACAGAGCGAGGAAGGTGTTTGAAAAGAGAAAAGACTGTTCGGAAAATGTGAGCGAGTGAGTGAGTGAGAGGGAGGCAGAGGCGGGAGGCGATTGATGAGCACGGCTCAATTGCCAGCAGCTCGAGACACGCACCTCCTGCATCGGCTCTTAGGCGCTGGATAATCTGCTGTGCATGGGCAGTGTTGACCGTCTTTATGTGCGCCTGGAGAAAAAGACAGCAGGGCAAGCAATAAACGATGGTGCCAGAGGGATTGGTGCGCGTGGCACGATACAAACAGGTGGCTCTGACCAAAGCAGCACAGGATGGCAGCGGGCCGTCCAAGTCACAAACAGCAACTCACGCAAGACAAGGTACAACATTGGAGTTCAGGTCCGTCCATAGCAGCACCATCACCATGCACAACTTTTAGATCATCCGCGGCTCAGCTCAGCCCACCTCGAGGTACTGCTTCTCCTCAAAGCCTGTTGCAGTAAAGACCCGATGGCCCCTCTCTGTCATGAGAATGGCCTGCCGTGGAAGCGGGCAGCACAGCGCAGGGGCATGTGGTGGACAAGGGAATAGATGGATGGAAGCGAGTGCTCTGTGAGGCCCCTGAAACAGAAAGGACAAGCTGTGAAGTTACTGTCGAGAGCGATCCAACAGGCTTTTCAATGCACTGTGACGCGGTGCAGTCGCAGCGCTGATGCAACAGGGAAGAGCGACGGATCTTGACTCAACAGCTTAAGCAGGCAGGAGCAAGGCAGGAGCAGAGCAAGCACCGGACGGACCTCGATGGTTTGTGCGGCGAGCTGAATGGCATGGACATTTGGATCAACAAGGAGGGTGGCCAGCAGCTTAAGCACCGATACAATCACCCCCTCGTGAACGCCCTCTCCTGCTGGATCCGCATTCACTACTGTCACACCACCCGTGGGTGCTGACGCTGCTGTTGGTGCTGCTGTTGAAGTTGCTGTGGCTGGAGGCTTGAAGGAAACGGCGGAAGCATCCCATATCCCCAGCTGCCAGCAAGACACGATGACACAGCACAAGGATGGAAGGTAGTAAGGTATGCGGGGAAAGGAGCTAGAATGCAGGGATATTAGCATGCTGACGTGAACTAGCACATCTACGGACGAGCAAGGCTAGTCACTCACAGCAGCCAGAAGCCTGCCAAGGCATGCCCGGATGGTGCTCGTACAGGGGTCTGATTCGCTCAGCCGTCGTGACACCTGCAGCATCTGCCACGTGGCAGTAAGGGCCTCAGCAGAGGGGCGTGGCACTCCATCCCCAGGCCCCCCTGCGTCCAGCTCAGGACTGCTGCTGCCTGGTGCTCCCTCCACGCCTTTGGCTGCAGGGGCAGTTTCGTCGCACCAAAGGAGGTGCTTGGTGGAGGCGAGGTGGTTGCAGAGAGCTTCCAGACTGAGAGGGCAGGTGGGGGGAGGAGATGGGAGGGGAGATATGGGCAGTGGGAAGGCAGAGATAGTCATGGAAGATTGTTGGTCGGTTGATACTGCTGGGGGAAATGCAATGCACTTTTGGGAGATGTCAAAGTTGCAGCGTATACAGCATGTGCACTGAATATGGTATGATGGAGAAACAGGAACGGTATATTACAGGCTCAGTGGTAGCAAGTAAGACATGATAGAGAAGTCGTTGAACAGACACGTGTGCACTGCACCGGCCAGATGAGCAATCAATCCTCACAACAGAAATTTTACCCTCAAACCCCAGTCTAAAACAACACACAAGATTTGATCTGCACACCTCTGTGCGAGAACAGCTGGGGAGAGGCTGATGGCCCGAGATGCAAGCTGCAAGACGGTGGAGGGCGGGTAGGGGGGAGAAAGGGAGGGAGGGAGGGAGGGAGGGAGGGAGGGAGTGGGGGGGGGGGAGGGGGAGGAGGAAAGAAAGAGCCCTAGAGTGAGGTGTGGGCAGTGGGCAGCATAGGCGACAGAGTTGGCAGTGAGGAAGGAACGAGGTCCGCGGACAGAAGAAAGCACACGCAGAAGCAGAACTCACAATCACAAGTAGACCCTATGAGTGCATATCGTCGTTAATGACATCTGAATTCTGACCCTCCTGTGCCTGTGGTAGATCAGACCAGCCAAGCTGAGCATATCGGTTGCATCGAAAAGCAGCACACCTGTGCAAGCTGTTGTGGAAGGGGCAAGTCGTGGGAGAGTGAGGAGAGAGAGTCCGCGATGGGTGCCAGAGAGGGGTATGCTGCCACTGCTGCTGCTGGCATGTGGAACAGCTGCAGAGGAGAGCAGTGAGTCAGGAATGGAGGGACAAGGAGAGAGGTAGAAGATACTAGGTTTGGTTGGACTAGTAAAAAAACGAACGTCAAATCAAAACAACAATGATAGCTAGCTAGTTGCTGCGATGCGTGCAAGCCAAAGACGGGTGCGCTGCCACTGCTGCTGCTGGCATGTGCAGCAACTGCAGAGGGGAGCGGTGTGAGTCAGGAATGGAGGAATATGGAGAGAGAGACACTACAGCATTGTTTGGGGTAGTAGGAAAAAGCATCGCATCACGCCAGGAACAATAGCTGGCTAGATGCTGCAATAACCCCACTCACAGAGGTTTGGTTTTTGAGTCGACTAAAAAATAATCCCACTCTCCCCACGACCGGAGGGTTCCTTGGTAGGGCAACGTATATAAATTAAGGGTTCATTCAGCTTGTTGCGTGAATGCAGGACAGGTGTATGTAAGGCAAGCAAGGCATGGTCTGTGCATGCGCAGGCAACCTTCCTGTATGAACAAAGGAGCGCAGCATGTGATGTGGTGCATGTGGTGCATGTGATGCATGTGATGCATGTGTGACGCATGTGGTGCATGTGATGCATGTGGTGTGGTGCATGTGGTGCATGTGGTGCATGTGATGCATGTGGTGTGGTGCATGTGGTGCATGTGGTGCATGTGATGCATGTGATGCATGTGGTGTGGTGCATGTGATGCATGTGGTGCATGTGATGTGGTGCATGTGATGCATGTGATGCATGTGGTGCATGTGATGCATGTGATGCCCCACCTGCAGGCGAGCCCTCACTGCTGCAGGGGCATCCACTGTGAACGCTCTCAGCAGCTCCACCAGCGCCTCTGGAAGCTCCCCCTCCTGCCCTGCTGCCCCTGCTGCTGCTCCCCCTTCTGCCACTCCTATTGCCCCCCCTCCTGCCCCTGCCGCCGCCGCTCCCACTGCTGCTTCTGCAGCTGGGGGAGTGCAGAGGGCCAGTAGGCGAGACACTTTGGCCTGCAGCGAGAGGGGGAGGGGCGGAGCGGAAAGAGTGGCAGGGGATGGCGGAATCTGCGGGGAGAAGGGAAGACGTGGGGGGTAATAAGGGCGCATGAAACACACAAGACGCAGCAGCATTTGTAGCAAGGAAACAGGAGAAGCAGGGAAATGAAAAGTAGACCAGCAGAGCAAGGCTTTACACGCACCAATGGACCTGCTTGCACCAAGTCGCCAACCTGCCTCTGGTCCAACACAGCAGTAGGCATTGTCGTTCCACTGCTGCCATCCCCTTTGCCACTTCCGTTTTGCACTGCAGCAACCATCTGCGCGAGCACGCTTTCTTAGTGACTCAGAAAGTGTCTCACCTGGCTTTGGTCCAACACAGCAGCAGACGCCATTCCACTGTGACCACCCTCCCTGGCACCGTTGCTCTGTGCTGCAGCCACCACCCGCGCCAGCACGTCTAGACAAACTGCCGCCACCGCTGCTGGTGTCGAGGGCGAGGGCAAGGGGCAGGAGGGGCTCTGAGAGAGCGAGAGCTGGGAGGAGGCGAGCGGTGGGGCGGGTGGAGGCCAGGTGGGTGCCGAGGTGGGCAGGCAGGCGAGCAGAATGTGCACCAGGTACCTGGGGGGGGGACGTCACAATGTGGGGGGGGGACGTCACAGTGTGGGGGGGGGACGTCACAGTGTGGGGGGGGGACGTCACAGTGTGGGGGGGGGACGTCACATTGTGGGGGGGGGACGTCACAGTGTGGGGGAAGGGACGTCACATTGTGGGGGGGGGACGTCACAGTGTGGGGGAAGGGACGTCACATTGTGGGGGGGGGACGTCACAGTGTGGGGGAAGGGACGTCACATTGTGGGGGGGGGACGTCACAGTGTGGGGGGGGGGACGTCACAGTGTGGGGGAAGGGACGTCACATTGTGGGGGAAGGGACGTCACAGTGTGGGGGAAGGGACGTCACATTGTGGGGGAAGGGACGTCACATTGTGGGGGAAGGGACGTCACATTGTGGGGGAAGGGACGTCACATTGTGGGGGAAGGGACGTCACATTGTGGGGGAAGGGACGTCACATTGTGGGGGAAGGGACGTCACATTGTGGGGGAAGGGACGTCACATTGTGGGGGAAGGGACGTCACATTGTGGGGGAAGGGACGTCACATTGTGGGGGAAGGGACGTCACATTGTGGGGGAAGGGACGTCACATTGTGGGGGAAGGGACGTCACATTGTGGGGGAAGGGACGTCACATTGTGGGGGAAGGGACGTCACATTGTGGGGGAAGGGACGTCACATTGTGGGGGAAGGGACGTCACATTGTGGGGGAAGGGACGTCACATTGTGGGGGAAGGGACGTCACACAGTGCGCTCGTACTGATGCTGCATGCAGGCGAGGGATGCATGGCAGGCACACATAAAACACAGAGAGCGGTACACACAGTGTGCATGACACAAGAAGAAAGGATGATGCAACTGCAGGCACTGTGGTGGATGAAACATGCTTGCGCAATGCAGCTGCGCGTCATATCGCCCCTTCTTTGCACTCCTACAAGGCAACTCCATTTATTCAATCGTGGTTGCTGTGACTGCCTCTATGTACCTGTTGCTGCTGGCACGCGAGTCAGCAGTGCTGTCCACCAGGGTGCAGATGGTGGCACGGATGCACGCGGTGGGGAAGGACGGCAACGATGGGTGCTGCTGGGAGGACGTGTGCTGCAGCAGACTGGTGATGATGGGCACCTGGGGAAGGGGATGCAGGTGGGGGCCGATGGGGAATTCGAGTTACTCTTTTTTTTTATTGAAGGCCTCAATGGGTGCCGCTGGGAGGATGTGTGTGGCGCAGCAGGGTGCTGCTATTGAGATGAGGAGCCTCATAGACTGAATTTTGACACATCTCAAAACGAGACTGCTGCTGATGATGGCCACCTGAGAAGGGCGGCGCAAGTAACAGCAAATGAGGACATTCAAAGACTTCTCTTTGAGGCGCTTCAGAAATTGCTTCAATTCTGAAGCATTGCTGTAATGCGGCAGCACAATCGACTGCACAACTGGCACTCAGTTGGGATCTCGAAGCATGACCAGAGAAGGCTCGTCAGTCGCAGGCACACAATCGAATTCCAGCCGTAGCAAAACAAGGACAAGGGTTTTGTATTTAGGGTTCACGACAGAGTGACCTCTGAGCCGACTCAAAACGACGGGTGGAAACAGACTGACCATGTGCTTGGTCAGAAGCTGATCCCTCTCTGCTTCACTCCACCCCGCCGTGGCCAGCAGGCCTGTCGTGAGCACACGTGTCGCAGCCTCCTTCTGCCACGTGTCAAGCTCTGACTGGCGGAATGGCAGCAGCGCAGCAACCACATGTGGGAATGACTCCTTGAGGAGCCGAGGGGCGGGCGCCTGGAGGGCCTGGTGAGTGGCATGAGTGAGGGGGGAGGGCGGGTGGGGGGGGAGCAGCACATGGGGGAAAGTTGCCCTGAGGATCCGAGGCCCGATGGGAAGGCGCCTGGAGAGCCTGGCTGGTGAGTGGAAGGAAGGAAGGAGCGGTGAGTTGGGGCAGTGGGGGGGAATCCGGAGAGGTATGATAAATTTCGAAGAGGCAAGAAATGAATGAAGGGGACAGGTGCACTGACAAAGGAGTGGGAAAACGGTGGAAGAAACGAAGCTAGTTGAATAATGCATTGGTACTCTTCAGGTGATCCTTCTGGATTCCTCCCATCGCTCACACCACTACCCAACTTCCGGCATGCCCACCGCTGTGAGACTCGGCCTCTCACTCACCTCGGCCAGGAATTGCACGTCACTCTTCCTCCCCAGCAGCAGCAGCGCAGGCAGCACGAGCGGAGCCAGGCTCTTCCACGGCCTTGCAAGTGCTCGTGCACCCGCCACTCCTGCTGCTACCACCCGTGCAGTGTCTCCTCCCGCTTCATGCTCGCCCTTCTCCTCTAGCATCTGCCTCCCTCCGCCACCAGCTGTCCAACAGCCTGCGCCACCCATCCCCCTACCCCCCCCTGCTTGCTCCAACGCCACCACCACCTGCACGGTGCACCCGCCCGCGGTGGTGACCACACACACGCACGCACGCACGCACGCACGCACGCACGCACACAGACACGGATTCATATCGTTTTTAACACGTGCGTGTGTGGAAGGGGGGGGGGTGTGAGGAGTGGCACGAATGGGGTTGCGCAGGGCAGTGGCAGCAATTGAGCTCACCTGTGCGAGAGCAGGCAGCGGCAGCAGCACGGGGTCTGCTGCCACCCATCGCGTGGCCACAGAGGGCAGGAGAATGTCCAGGTACTGGATAGGATAGGGGTGAGCAGGGGAGGAAAAGAAGAAGCGAAGGAGGGAAGCGATGGAGGGTCGTACAAGCGGCCGTGAGCGCCACACAGTGCTGCAAGACTTCAGGTGTCACTGAGAATCATCTAATACACACATGGCTCGGAAAGTGGCTGGCTGGAATGGCACCAAGACTGGGGCGGACAGACCTGGCTGAGACTGGGGTAGCCCAGCGATGCTGCAGCTGTGGTGAGGACTGCAGCAGCCAAATTGCTGCACTGGACGGTTGGATTGGGAAGAGAGGCTCGAGATGCAAGGAGAAAAACAGGAAAACACAGAAGAAAGAGGAGAGCAAGGAAGGGTGAAAGAGGAGAGAAAGAGGGGCTAATGCGATGAGAATGAGGGGAGGTGCAGTTTAGAGAAACATGAAGGGAGGATGTGCAGCAGTCAACAAGGATGCATGGCGTCTCGTCCGATCTGCATTTGATTCACAAGGCTGCAAACATGCTTCCATGTGATATAGACCAAGCAAACAACTTACGTGCGCACAAGGCGGAGAGCAGCAGCTGCGGCGATGAGGAATACGACCTGGATGAGAGGAGAGGGGCAGGCAGAGCACGACCACCATGCAGCAGAGGCAAACAAGGCAAAGATTATAGTCAGAACACCATGCCTGCCAGATGAACGCAGGACAGCCTAGTGACAACCACAGTAGAGAAGAGACGAAACGCAACTCATCAGTCAGGTCAGTGCAATTTTCAGATGGCACGTAGGGAAGCTGTGAGTATCCAGAGAATAAGGGTTACAGGGAAAATCGCCTTGCAGCTCACCTCGTCCTCTACCAGGTCGCTGCTCCCTGCTCTCCTCCCAGCAGCATGGTCATGGTACGGTACGGTATGGCACGGCACGAAAGGAAGCTCTGGAGCTGCTGTGAATGTACAGACAGGGAGAACAAGGGCGGCATGTAGCTCACCTCGTCCTCCACCAGGTCGCTGCTCTCGGCTATCCTCCCCAGCAGTAAGACACCCGTCTCCACCCTCGCCCTGTCCACTCGCTCCACCTCCCTCCTCACTCTCTCCTCATCTGTCTCCCCACTCCCTCCTGCTCCTCCCTCTTCCCCTCCCTCTCCTCCACTGCCTCCCTTTCCCTCATCTCTTCCCCCACCTCCTCCCCCGCTGCGCATGAGTCCCAAGAGAGCGCCCTTCCCTGCAGGACCTGCCAGCAGAGGCAAGCCACGGCGGGCGGCAGGGCTGGAAGAGGGGGTGGAGGTAGGAGTGCTGCTGCTGGTGGAGGTGGCGGTGGCGGAGGGCAGGTGGAGCGTGGAGATGGAGAGGGTGGGTGCGGGAGCGAGCGACAACGTCTTCAAGTCCTTCCTGTTACATGTTGGGGAAGAGAACGTGATAATTGAGTTGAGAGCGATAAAAAAGCAGCATGTAGAGTGGAGCATGGAGGTGGAAAGGGTGGGTGCGGGCGCGTGACAAAGCGCCTTCAAGTATTTCCTGCAAACCGTTTTGCGTTGGAGGGAGAAAATGGGGTGGGTTGCATGCTGCATGATACATATCTTGCTTGCATTCATACGAGGTTTGGATGGATTTCCTGCCACCTGACCTCGAGGTTTGGCTGGCCCTCACTCCCGAACCGAGCAGGATCGACTTGAAAAAGGGGCGGGCTTGTCCCGGCTTGACCTGAACCGGCTTGGCTCAGCTGTGCTCTTGCCACGGATGGCACCGTGGCATCCTCCCAACTCAATGGCAACGGTCGCACTCACAATACGGCTGTGCCAACCAACCTTTCAGTTGCTCACTCACTTGCGCGCGCACAATACAAGGTAGGCAGTGGAAGGTGACAGTTGAGTGTTGAGAGTTTTACAGAATGTGGAGCGTACGCGGAGTGCCAAATTGTCGGATTCCCACGCGGGGGAGGTAAGAGCAGACGGACTCACAGCGTGTCAGCGAGCATGGCGTGGTGGCCCTCCCATCCCATTTGAAGTAGAGCAGGTCGATATTCTCACATAATTCTCAGCGAGCAGCGGAATCTAGTCGGGATTACATCTCAGGTGAAAATTCTGACAAACGGACTCACAGAGTGTCAACGAGCAAGGCGGGGTGGCCCTCCCACTTGAGGAAGAGCGCAGGCAGCAGGTGTATGGGGGGAGTAGGCAGAAAGAGGCCGGGCCAAAGTGCTAAATTGCACACTGGGAGGCACCCACAGCACAGGCGGACTCACAGCGTGTCGGTGAGCAAGGCGGGGTGGTCCTCCCACTTGAGGAAGAGCGCGGGCAGCAGGTGGGCCATGTGCAGGCGCACCCCGTAGTCCCGGTCGTGCAGCAGCGCAAGGAGCGGCGTAGTAAAGAGGTCCTGAGCGGTGCAGGTGTGTGCATGGATGGTGGAAATGGGAAGAGATGAAAAAGGGAGAGTGCATGAGATGTAGAAAAAAACCTTCTGTGAGGCATGGGGAGGGGGGGATATGGACGTAGCTAACATTTGAGGCAATTTCTTCTTAGGTCTTGATTTTTTCCCCCCATTTTTTTTTTCCGGCCTGCCCCAAAACTTTTCCCCCTTGTGTCTAGCGTCTACGGGTGCGTCCTGCCTCTAGCGTCTAGACGCTAGACGCAGGACGGTCCTGGCGTTTTCCGCAACTTGAATGGGAGGGAGGAGGTTTGAGACACATGGAATGGCAGTGGAGTGGAGCAGACATCCACAGAGGGCATCTGCGAAGAGCTGCGAAGAGCAGACATCCACAGAGGGCTGAGAAGGATGAGTGCGAGGAGGGCATCTGCGAGGTGGACGCCAGAGTGGCATTGCGACAGCAGAGAGGACATGGGAGGTGGAGACACGTACAGAGTCGCTGAGAAGGATGAGTGCGAGGAGGGCATCTGCGAGGTTGATGCGCGCAGCTGGGGTGGGCAGGGGTTTGCTGCCCAACATGGGGGCAAGGGCCTCCTGCATCACCTGCAGCGCCTGAGGAGGGGGAATAGAGGAGAGGAGAGGGAGGCACACACAGCACAGGTTTCAGCATCGCCACTCCAGCCTAGCTTCGCGAGCACATCAAGAAGACGCATGTTATGGAAAGGAGATGAGATGTCTGCTTAAGAACTCTCTCTGGCCTCTCAACCATCCACGCTGAGTTCCCAAACCCCCAACTAGGGATAACCCTACCTTAGCTGTGGGCTCAAACTAAGCTTGGGTGCCTTTCTCTACCCAAGTTTGTGGGATAAATGTAGGACACAAGGAGAATGATACTCTCACACCTCTTACCTGCACCACCTCTCACCCGATTCACATCTGTGTCGCTGGCAGTTGCAGTGTCAGCTCCACCACCCCACGCATCTGCCAACGCCACAACGCTCCCCACGCCCTCCATCCGCTCCACTCCCCCCAAAACCCCCACGCCCTCATCTCGGAGCAGGGCGGGCGGCAGGGCGCCGTCCTTGTGCGCTGCAAGGCGGCAGGCAGTTGTGGTTGTGAGGTGAAGGAGGTGCTGCTGGTGGGAGTGCAGTGTGGTGGATGCATGGGACTCCAGGGCTGCTAGCTGCGAGGCGGAAGAGGGCAAAAGGGGGGTAAAATGGGGTAAGTGGAAGGGGTGGTGGAGGTGACAAGAACGATGCCCCTCACATGCTGGCATTGCCATACATGGGATGGAAACAGGGGCCCCGTGTCTATTTTTGAGTCGACTCAAAAATGGGTGGGATGGAAACAGGGGCCCCGTGTCTATTTTTGAGTCGACTAAAAAATGGGTGGGATGGAAACAGGGGCCCCGTGTCTATTTTTGAGTCGACTCAAAAATGGGTGGGATGGAAACAGGGGCCCCGTGTCTATTTTTGAGTCGACTCAAAAATGGGTGGGATGGAAACAGGGGCCCCGTGTCTATTTTTGAGTCGACTCAAAAATGGGTGGGATGGAAACAGGGGCCCCGTGTCTATTTTTGAGTCGACTAAAAAATGGGTGGGATGGAAACAGGGGCCCCGTGTCTATTTTTGAGTCGACTCAAAAATGGGTGGGATGGAAACAGGGGCCCCGTGTCCATTTTTGAGTCGACTCAAAAATGGGTGGGATGGAAACAGGGGCCCCGTGTCTATTTTTGAGTCGACTCAAAAATGGGTGGGATGGAAACAGGGGCACCGTGTCTATTTTTGAGTCGACTCAAAAATGGGTGGGATGGAAACAGGGGCCCCGTGTCTATTTTTGAGTCGACTCAAAAATGGGTGGGATGGAAACAGGGGCACCGTGTCTATTTTTGAGTCGACTCAAAAATGGGTGGGATGGAAACAGGGGCCCCGTGTCTATTTTTGAGTCGACTCAAAAATGGGTGGGATGGAAACAGGGGCCCCGTGTCTATTTTTGAGTCGACTCAAAAATGGGTGGGATGGAAACAGGGGCCCCGTGTCTATTTTTGAGTCGACTCAAAAATGGGTGGGATGGAAACAGGGGCCCCGTGTCTATTTTTGAGTCGACTCAAAAATGGGTGGGATGGAAACAGGGGCCCCGTGTCTATTTTTGAGTCGACTCAAAAATGGGTGGGATGGAAACAGGGGCCCCGTGTCTATTTTTGAGTCGACTAAAAAATGGGTGGGATGGAAACAGGGGCCCCGTGTCTATTTTTGAGTCGACTCAAAAATGGGTGGGATGGAAACAGGGGCCCCGTGTCTATTTTTGAGTCGACTAAAAAATGGGTGGGATGGAAACAGGGGCCCCGTGTCTATTTTTGAGTCGACTCAAAAATGGGTGGGATGGAAACAGGGGCCCCGTGTCTATTTTTGAGTCGACATAAAAATGGGTGGGATGGAAACAGGGGCCCCGTGTCTATTTTTGAGTCGACTCAAAAATGGGTGGGATGGAAACAGGGGCCCCGTGTCTATTTTTTAGTCGACTCAAAAATGGGTGGGATGGAAACAGGGGCCCCGTGTCTATTTTTGAGTCGACATAAAAATGGGTGGGATGGAAACAGGGGCCCCGTGTCTATTTTTGAGTCGACTCAAAAATGGGTGGGATGGAAACAGGGGCCCCGTGTCTATTTTTGAGTCGACTCAAAAATGGGTGGGATGGAAACAGGGGCCCCGTGTCTATTTTTGAGTCGACTAAAAAATGGGTGGGATGGAAACAGGGGCCCCGTGTCTATTTTTGAGTCGACTCAAAAATGGGTGGGATGGAAACAGGGGCCCCGTGTCTATTTTTGAGTCGACTCAAAAATGGGTGGGATGGAAACAGGGGCCCCGTGTCTATTTTTGAGTCGACTCAAAAATGGGTGGGATGGAAACAGGGGCCCCGTGTCTATTTTTGAGTCGACTAAAAAATGGGTGGGATGGAAACAGGGGCCCCGTGTCTATTTTTGAGTCGACTCAAAAATGGGTGGGATGGAAACAGGGGCCCCGTGTCTATTTTTGAGTCGACTCAAAAATGGGTGGGATGGAAACAGGGGCCCCGTGTCTATTTTTGAGTCGACTCAAAAATGGGTGGGATGGAAACAGGGGCCCCGTGTCTATTTTTGAGTCGACTAAAAAATGGGTGGGATGGAAACAGGGGCCCCGTGTCTATTTTTGAGTCGACTCAAAAATGGGTGGGATGGAAACAGGGGCCCCGTGTCCATTTTTGAGTCGACTCAAAAATGGGTGGGATGGAAACAGGGGCCCCGTGTCTATTTTTGAGTCGACTCAAAAATGGGTGGGATGGAAACAGGGGCACCGTGTCTATTTTTGAGTCGACTCAAAAATGGGTGGGATGGAAACAGGGGCCCCGTGTCTATTTTTGAGTCGACTCAAAAATGGGTGGGATGGAAACAGGGGCCCCGTGTCTATTTTTGAGTCGACTCAAAAATGGGTGGGATGGAAACAGGGGCCCCGTGTCTATTTTTGAGTCGACTCAAAAATGGGTGGGATGGAAACAGGGGCCCCGTGTCTATTTTTGAGTCGACTCAAAAATGGGTGGGATGGAAACAGGGGCCCCGTGTCTATTTTTGAGTCGACTCAAAAATGGGTGGGATGGAAACAGGGGCCCCGTGTCTATTTTTGAGTCGACTCAAAAATGGGTGGGATGGAAACAGGGGCCCCGTGTCTATTTTTGAGTCGACTCAAAAATGGGTGGGATGGAAACAGGGGCCCCGTGTCTATTTTTGAGTCGACTAAAAAATGGGTGGGATGGAAACAGGGGCCCCGTGTCTATTTTTGAGTCGACTCAAAAATGGGTGGGATGGAAACAGGGGCCCCGTGTCTATTTTTGAGTCGACTAAAAAATGGGTGGGATGGAAACAGGGGCCCCGTGTCTATTTTTGAGTCGACATAAAAATGGGTGGGATGGAAACAGGGGCCCCGTGTCTATTTTTGAGTCGACTCAAAAATGGGTGGGATGGAAACAGGGGCCCCGTGTCTATTTTTTAGTCGACTCAAAAATGGGTGGGATGGAAACAGGGGCCCCGTGTCTATTTTTGAGTCGACATAAAAATGGGTGGGATGGAAACAGGGGCCCCGTGTCTATTTTTGAGTCGACTCAAAAATGGGTGGGATGGAAACAGGGGCCCCGTGTCTATTTTTGAGTCGACTCAAAAATGGGTGGGATGGAAACAGGGGCCCCGTGTCTATTTTTGAGTCGACTCAAAAATGGGTGGGATGGAAACAGGGGCCCCGTGTCTATTTTTGAGTCGACTCAAAAATGGGTGGGATGGAAACAGGGGCCCCGTGTCTATTTTTGAGTCGACTCAAAAATGGGTGGGATGGAAACAGGGGCCCCGTGTCTATTTTTGAGTCGACTCAAAAATGGGTGGGATGGAAACAGGGGCCCCGTGTCTATTTTTGAGTCGACTCAAAAATGGGTGGGATGGAAACAGGGGCCCCGTGTCTATTTTTGAGTCGACTCAAAAATGGGTGGGATGGAAACAGGGGCCCCGTGTCTATTTTTGAGTCGACTCAAAAATGGGTGGGATGGAAACAGGGGCCCCGTGTCTATTTTTGAGTCGACTAAAAAATGGGTGGGATGGAAACAGGGGCCCCGTGTCTATTTTTGAGTCGACTCAAAAATGGGTGGGATGGAAACAGGGGCCCCGTGTCTATTTTTGAGTCGACTAAAAAATGGGTGGGATGGAAACAGGGGCCCCGTGTCTATTTTTGAGTCGACATAAAAATGGGTGGGATGGAAACAGGGGCCCCGTGTCTATTTTTGAGTCGACTCAAAAATGGGTGGGATGGAAACAGGGGCCCCGTGTCTATTTTTTAGTCGACTCAAAAATGGGTGGGATGGAAACAGGGGCCCCGTGTCTATTTTTGAGTCGACATAAAAATGGGTGGGATGGAAACAGGGGCCCCGTGTCTATTTTTGAGTCGACTCAAAAATGGGTGGGATGGAAACAGGGGCCCCGTGTCTATTTTTGAGTCGACTCAAAAATGGGTGGGATGGAAACAGGGGCCCCGTGTCTATTTTTGAGTCGACTCAAAAATGGGTGGGATGGAAACAGGGGCCCCGTGTCTATTTTTGAGTCGACTCAAAAATGGGTGGGATGGAAACAGGGGCCCCGTGTCTATTTTTGAGTCGACTCAAAAATGGGTGGGATGGAAACAGGGGCCCCGTGTCTATTTTTGAGTCGACTCAAAAATGGGTGGGATGGAAACAGGGGCCCCGTGTCTATTTTTGAGTCGACTCAAAAATGGGTGGGATGGAAACAGGGGCCCCGTGTCCCACACGACGCATGCCAACAGCTGATGGGAGACAGAAGCGCAAGGAATGCAAAGTAGCCGGACATGGAGACCACCATAGAGAAATGGTACAAGCAATGCTTTGTGCTGGTGACGACTCAGTCATGAGAGCGCTGTTGAAACCAGTCTGCTGCAGGCAGTGTAATCGGACCTGGAGCAGTGCAGAGTTGCCTCATGCTCAAGTGCGATTTATTGACAGTTCTAATAGTTTTAGTCGACTGAAAGGGTGATCGGAACAAGTGCGGTCTTACCACAGGCTCGAGTGCTATCAATAGTTCAGCGTGTGATGCAAGCACGGAGAGCAACTGCCAGTAGCACTGAGGAGGGGGGGGGGGGGTCCGGGGGGGGGGGGGTTGATGGTGATACAAGGGAGGGCGGGATGACGGGAGCGAAACAGCAGGAAAGACAGGAGAGGGCCGGTGGAAAAACATAATGCAATGCAAAGGTTGGGAGCTTCGGAATCAGGGAGGCAAGGAGTGAAGTGAAGTGAGAGAGTGGGAAACGTGGGACGGAATCGGAATTGGAAACGCCGATGAAGGCCCACAAAGCCGAAACGCGCGTACGTTTTCTGAACCACTTGTAATCTGCCTTCTAATACTACTACGCTTACCTACACGTGTTCTCGCCTAGTACTCAGTGAACTTTTCTACTCAGATTACTTAGGTCGGTCAACCGAGCTTGCAGCTTTCTATCCGTTTCCTTCGTTTGAGTGAAGTGAAGTGAGAGAGTGGGAAACGTGGGACGGGTGGTGTTTGCAAGGGGCGAAGCAAGTGACATCACTTTCAGCATCCGTGTCGTTGTTGCTCCTCACACTTTTATTGTTCCCAATGCCCTCTGCCCACTGCCCTCTGCCCACTGCCCACTGACCACTTCCCAGTGCCGACTGCAAAGCACCAAGTGGCCAGGGTAGCACTGCCCAGCACACACCTCGGAGTCTTCACTAAGCTCCAGCAGCAGCACCACCTCTCTGCACGCCGCTGCTGGAAGGAACTCCGCCACCCACCCCACCATCCACACCGCTCCCTCCGCCACCTCCGCTGCTGTTGCACTGCCACCACCACCACTCAAACCTGTCAGCACCCCAGCAGCAGTAGTAGTAGCAGCAGCACGAGCAGCACTGGCGGCAGCGCCACTGCCCCCTGCTCCGTCCCGCCACGCGCTCTGTGTGTTCCTGCTGCGCACCAGGGGAGCCTGGGACGGCAGCACTCCAGGCGCATCCAATTCATTGTCAAAGATCCGAGTCTCCTCCCCCTCCCCACCCTCCTCCTCTAGCTCTATCACCTGCTGCTGCAGCTGAGGCTGAAAGCTGGGTACAACTGCTCCTGATCTCGACCCCATCATTCCTCCCAGTCTTCCTCTTGCCCCGCCTCTCCCGCCCCTTCCGCCAGCAGATTGCAGCCCACTGTGCCCACCTTGCCGCCCACCGTGCAGCCCACTGGTGGCAGCAGACGGCTGCTGAAACTCCCAGTCGTCGTCAAAATCGTCGTCCAGGCGACTCCTCGCGGCGAAGGTTACAGCAGAGGCTGGAGGCAGGGAGAGGGCCGACACTGCCGCTTCACCACCCCCTGTCGCTCCGCCTCCCGCCCCTGCTGCCGCTGCTGCGGCTGCTGCGGCTGCTTCGGCCACGGTGGTATAGGAGGTGGTGGCGAGTCGAAGCATGGCGGAGAGGAGAGGGAGGGAGGCAGGCGAGCGGGGGAAGATGGAGAGGAGGTCGCAGATGAGTGGGAGGGAGGGAAGGTCCAGAGAGGTGGTGGGAGTGATGGATGGTGAAGACGCGAGAGCTGTTACAGCTGACTGGAGACTCTGCTTCTCCAGAAGACCCCCGGGGAGGAGGTCGGGAGGAAGGGATCTGCAGGTGAGGGAGGAAGGGAGAGAGAGACAAGCGCACGATGAGAGAAAAGCGCACGATGAGCCCCTCACTGTCGCCAAGACCCTCACGGCCTTTGAGGCCGCAGCTGCCCCGACCTCCTTCCAGAAGGAGCCCCTTGGTACCGGGGACCTCTTGCACGTGCTCGAGCCACTGCTCAAGATGCCGTAGATAGTCCTATCTTGCCTGTTTAACCCCCTTACTAGTGTGCTGTACCAATTTCGGATTATTAATAGAGGTCCATTCGAGAGAGAGAGATCACAGGGCATCGCCCTCATGACTCAGAGGAGTCAAGAGGAACCGGGAGGAAGTTGGGAGGAAGGGTTCTGCAGCAGAGGGTAGAACCATTGAGAAGTTGGGAATATTACACACAATTGTAGCCATTGCCGGGTGTTTTTGAGAATTCTCAAAAACGTTCTGCAGCAGAGGGTAGAAGGGAGAGAATATTACACAAAATTGTAGTCATTGCCGGTTGTAAGTCAAATACCATTCTCCTCCTTTGTGACACAGACCATTCAAGCAGTCCAATTGCACACACGAAACAGAAAAAAACGTAGAGTCGTGTTGTTGGGTGGATGGATGTGCGTGGGCAAGTGAAGCCTCAAACGTGGGCAAGTGAAGCCTCAAACGTGGGCAAGTGAAGCCTCAAACGTGGGCAAGTGAAGCCTCAAACGTGGGCAAGTGAAGCCTCAAACGTGGGCAAGTGAAGCCTCAAACGTGGGCAAGTGAAGCCTCAAACGTGGGCAAGTGAAGCCTCAAACGTGGGCAAGTGAAGCCTCAAACGTGGGCAAGTGAAGCCTCAAACGTGGGCAAGTGAAGCCTCAAACGTGGGCAAGTGAAGCCTCAAACGTGGGCAAGTGAAGGCACCTGGTGAAGGAGGAGCGGGAGAGCAGGCGACAGCAGTGCAGCCCCACTGCTGCCACCCACAGACTGCTCGCTCTTGTGCCTCCACCACCGCCATCACTGCCACCACCAGCAGCACTGCTCCGCCTCCCATCCCTACCAGCGCCATCCCCACTGCCCTCCCCAGAGCTGCCAGCTGAGCCTCTACCCTCCACCCACTCCCTTTCCCCTCCTCCTGACCCTCCTCCCACCACATCTGCCTCACCACAGCCAACGTCTCTTGCTGCACTGGTTGGCGGGCAGATGAGCGCGGCGAGTGTGGAGAGGGCTGCTTGGGAGAGCGGCAGAACGCGTGTGGAGTCAAGGAGCGAGCGGGAGAGCGTGAGGGCGGCCGAGGGTGGGGAGTAGGGGGACGAGGCGAGGGAAGGTATGTGCTTGTCCCTGTGCTGCTGGACGTGTGAGGGAGGATGAAGGGGAGGGACGGGAAGAGAGGAAGAGAAAGGTGAGGATGAAGATGTTGCAAGACAAGAAGTAGAGGAGCAACAAGTAACATCAGAAGTACACGAAGAGCGACACGTAACCTTAGACGATACAAGGAGGGAATGCCAAATTATGTGAAAAGGTGTAGAGGCAACATGAGTTGGGGTGGCGAAGAGACAAGATTTTGAAAGTGCACGCGCTGCTAACCTACCCTGTGCACAGCAAGTAACCCTCACATGCAAGTAGCTCTACTACCAACGGCACCACCTTCCCTTGGTATACCTGACATGCTGCAAGCCACGGCGGGGACGACGACAGAGGGGGAGCAGCAGCAGAGTGTGGCACGCCAAGCGACAAGGCAGTGTGAGGGGCGCATGCTGCAGGTCCAGCTGCCCCTGCAGCTGCTGCAACGAGGCAGTGAGGGCTGCGGTGTAGGTGAGGGAGCGCTGGCTCCATGTCTCTCACATCTTCATGCAGCTGATGGTGGGGGATGGGGGCACGCACACAGGTGCAGGCAGAGAGATGGATGGCTTGTGGGCACAGAAAGAATGTGGGCAGGGGGACAGAAAGAAAGTTGGCAGCTCGGCACATGCACAGGAACTCTCATGAAGTTGCCCTCTCTTTCTTCGTCTACACCAATGCTCCAAGGCAATGACAAGAACCATCCCACACATCCGCCAAGTGCTTACAGGGAACCACCAGTCACTGTGGAAGGAGGTGGGCACGGGGCACGCGGAAGGACAGGACGGGGCACCAGCGGCGCCAGGCGCAGCAGCACGAGAGGCGGCAGCAGCAGCAGCAGCAGCTGCTGCAGCTGCAGGAGCGGATACGCGGGTGCAGGGTGCTTCGCCTGTCACTGCTGCGCACAGGGCAGCTGCAAGCAGAAATGGTTCCGGTGGGCGGTGAGTGCGGTGCAGAGCGGTGCGCAGGGTGATGGGGTGAGAGGGCTCGGAGTCTCTGGAGGAGAGGGATGGGCCGTGAGCCTGGTGGAAGGGTTGAAATGAACACAGGGCAGCACAGTGGGAGGTCATTCTTTGAAGCGCAACAATAGGCGGATGCGGAAAAAAGGCCATGGGGGTTGGAGTTTGGAGGCATGCACAATGCCAATCTGGAACGGCATGCGGATGAAGTGATTTTTTAGGGCATGCGGATGAAGTGATTTTTTAGGGCATGCGGATGAAGTGATTTTTGAGCCGCCTCAAAAACCACCTCAAATTGGATGAGCACAGTGCATGTGGATACGGATGCAGTAAGGAAGGCATGGAGGGAGCAGAATGTGGAGCAGAAAGGCACTCACACACCAGCGCTTTTATCACACCACCACCTCACCTCACCTCACCTCACCTCACCTCACCTCACCTCACTGCACCGCACTGCAGCTGCCCACCTCGTTGACCATTCCCGCAAGCAGCCACTGCAGCAATGCCACGCGTGCTGAGCTGAGCGGTGACGTGGCAGCTGGATTCAGCGCCAGCAGTGCTGCCTCCTGGCGCTGGTAGGGAGAAGAGTGGGGAGGTGGAGTGGAAGGTGGGTTGGATAAACCATCGATTGTTTTCCTTTTCATGTACTTGTGTGAAGTAGACCCTGATTTTTGCTGATACAATCACAAATGTTTTTTGTTTCCCAGCCTGCTGAAGATTCTTACACAAACAAGACTCCTTGCGGGTCCAGCAAAGGAAAGATGGGAGGCCGGGGAGAGCTGTGTGGGCAGAGTTGGCAAAAGAGAACAAAGTAGTTGACGGGCGATGCAAGAAGCAAAGCATAGTACCTGGAAGGCTGTATTGGATAGAAGTGCGGCTGCAAACTGCAGAGTTGCACTGGTGACGGGAACAAGGGAGAAAGCGGAAGCAAGAGGCCCATACCACTGGGATGCGCATGCGTGGGAGTGGAAGGAAAGGGCGTGCGTGTGGGAGCATGAAAACGCAACATAGAGTGCCGCAAAAAACGAAGATCCGAAAGGGCAGAGGTGTGCTCGGACCTTGGTGGCTCAACAGAAGCCCAACCAGGCCATGGGCCATGGCAGAGCTGGAGGTGGGTCGTTGCTGGCTAGAGGAACTATTGTTTCTGGCATGGCGAAACGATTGAGTAATAATATGTTTGAGTAGGCTGGCAATGCCAGGTCCATGCTCACCTCGCGAGTGCTGCTCACCTCGCGAGTGCTGCTCACCTCGCGAGTGCTCCTCCCTCCTTGAACTGCGGCAGTGCCAGCATCTCCCTGGGAGGAATCACGTCCTGCACAACACCCTGTGTAGAGTCATCACGCATGGGGGATAAAAGAGGGGAATGGCAGGCATACACGGAACAGAAGGAAAGACCATTTCAGTTAAGACAACAGCATTACACAGAAGGGCATGAATGGAATACTTGCAGGGAATTAATTCATTTGATTGGTTCTGCAGTGGTTGGCTATGAATACGCAGCGTCACGGTTGCCTTTCTCTGGTCATTGAACAGACGGAAAGCATCATACAGTGCAGCGGTTGACACTTGCGTTTACATACGTCATGCACTCACGAGGTGAGCAGCAACTCACGAGGTGAGCAGCACTCACAAGGTGAGCAGCACTCACGAGGTGAGCAGCACTCGCTTGCGTTTACGAGTTGCCATACGTACAATGATGCAATCCATACAGTTGCATGAGTTGCCATCTCATCTGTATGGATTGCATCATTGTACGGATGGCACATGCACATCCATTCACTCATACATGGTTGCAAATGGCACATGGCACCTGCACTCACCGCTTGCAGTAAGGTGGAGAGGAGCGAGAGGCATGGCTCCACCTGGCGAGATGGCAAAGGGGGGAACGGAACGGAAGGCCCAAGTTGGAGATTGGACCTCATAGTCAACAGCTGTCAGCATGGCAGCAGCAGAAGGATTTTTAGGCGCCTTATAATAGAATCAACCTGGCAAAGTGGTACATTTGATTCCATTTCAAAAGTCAGCGAGGCAGCAGCAGAAACTGGGGGACAGGGGCCGAAGAGGAGAGGGAACCTCGGAGAAGAAAGGGCCACATCAAGAAGCAGAAAACTTGACGACTGCAGATGCAGGAGACAGGTTGGGTGAAGCGCGGCAGAGCAGCAATTACCAATGCAAGAGGCAGCGCAGGGAGAGCAGCAGTGACCTCGCCCCACACGCTCTGCCACAGAGCAGCAAGCGACAGATGCTGCGGAGGAGGGTGCTGCGGGTGCTGTGGTAAAGCTGCTGCGGGGCTGCTGCTGAGAGGAACTTGGCTTGACCGATGCAGAGGGTGAGGAGCTTGGCTTGACCGATGCAATGGGTGAGGAGCTTGGCTTGACCGATGCAGAGGGTGAGGAGCGGTGAGCAGCGTGCACAGCTGCTGCAGGCACCTGATGGGCCAAGGGAGGGAGATGGGATCATTAGTGGGTGAGGTGAGACAAGCTGTGCCTGCACGCACGCACATGCCATTGGTGGGGCCCTGGCAGACAGTAAAAGTTGCATGGCTGAGGCCCTGTGCCTCGGGGCAAGATCTAGGGCAGAGAGGGAGGGATCTGTTTCAACCCTGTTGCTGACTGTGACAGGAACAGAGACAAAATGGGACAGGAACAAGACAAGACAACCGTCGGTGGGATCACAGGGTGAAAAAATCGCTCCACAGCAGAAAACCCATCTGGCAGATGGGCAGGTGGCAGCACAGCGCAGAGCCTCACCTGAGCGCCCAGATGGGTGTTGGCAACGAGCCCTTGTGCCTCGCATCCTGCATCCACCTGCTCCGGGAAAGGGCCACAGGCATGCACATGGGAAGCAGGGGCGGGCTGACTTTTGAGTCGACTCAAAAGTCGCCCTTGTGCCGTGCATCCTGCATCCACCTGCTGCCCAGGACACACGGAGGTACACACGCAGACAGCGGATTTGTGGCGCCTCAAGAAGCGCCTGGGGTTAGGGAGGGGGGCATGTGCACGTGCAGGCAGGGGCGTGTTTACGCGCTGAAGAGGTGCAGTGCGGTTGCAGGGGAGTGGTGGTTTACAGACGTTGGTAGGCAGAAGATGGCAGGCGAGGCAGCCAGCAGAGAGGAACGATGGCAGTACACTTAGTGGGGAAATGATGAGTGGTATGAAAGGTGAATGCATGATGGGTGCAGCGGATGGCAGCAGCAGGCCTAGAGGAGCGAGGTGAAAAAAGGAGTGTTTTGAGACGTCTCAAGGCAGCAGCAGGCCTAGAGGAGCGAGGTGAAAAAAGGAGTGTTTTGAGACGTCTCAAGGCAGCAGCAGGCCTAGAGGAGCGCGGTGAAAAAAGGAGTGTTTTGAGACGTCTCAAGGCAGCAGCAGGCCTAGAGGAGCGCGGTGAAAAAAGGAGTGTTTTGAGACGTCTCAAGGCAGCAGCAGGCCTAGAGGAGCGCGGTGAAAAAAGGAGTGTTTTGAGACGTCTCAAGGCAGCAGCAGGCCTAGAGGAGCGAGGTGAAAAAAGGAGTGTTTTGAGACGTCTCAAGGCAGCAGCAGGCCTAGAGGAGCGCGGTGAAAAAAGGAGTGTTTTGAGACGTCTCAAGGCAGCAGCAGGCCTAGAGGAGCGCGGTGAAAAAAGGAGTGTTTTGAGACGTCTCAAGGCAGCAGCAGGCCTAGAGGAGCGCGGTGAAAAAAGGAGTGTTTTGAGACGTCTCAAGGCAGCAGCAGGCCTAGAGGAGCGCGGTGAAAAAAGGAGTGTTTTGAGACGTCTCAAGGCAGCAGCAGGCCTAGAGGAGCGAGGTGAAAAAAGGAGTGTTTTGAGACGTCTCAAGGCAGCAGCAGGCCTAGAGGAGCGCGGTGAAAAAAGGAGTGTTTTGAGACGTCTCAAGGCAGCAGCAGGCCTAGAGGAGCGCGGTGAAAAAAGGAGTGTTTTGAGACGTCTCAAGGCAGCAGCAGGCCTAGAGGAGCGCGGTGAAAAAAGGAGTGTTTTGAGACGTCTCAAGGCAGCAGCAGGCCTAGAGGAGCGCGGTGAAAAAAGGAGTGTTTTGAGACGTCTCAAGGCAGCAGCAGGCCTAGAGGAGCGCGGTGAAAAAAGGAGTGTTTTGAGACGTCTCAAGGCAGCAGCAGGCCTAGAGGAGCGCGGTGAAAAAAGGAGTGTTTTGAGACGTCTCAAGGCAGCAGCAGGCCTAGAGGAGCGCGGTGAAAAAAGGAGTGTTTTGAGACGTCTCAAGGCAGCAGCAGGCCTAGAGGAGCGCGGTGAAAAAAGGAGTGTTTTGAGACGTCTCAAGGCAGCAGCAGGCCTAGAGGAGCGCGGTGAAAAAAGGAGTGTTTTGAGGCGTCTCAAGGCAGCAGCAGGCCTAGAGGAGCGCGGGCACGAGAGTCAGCCCCGTTGCACTCCTCTATTCGACTCGATGCACTTGGGCAGCACATGGGAAGGCAGCAGCAGGTCACCTGGCGAGGTGCGAGTGCAGGAGGGCAAGCCAGCGGTGCAGGGTGTGTGGCGGTATGGAGTGGCCGTGGTCGCAGAGCAGCACGCACAGGGCTGTTAGCCTGCAGGTGGTGGGAGGGGGGGCGATGGAGGGAGAGGCACGAGATGGAGGAATGGGGGAGAGACGTGAGGAAAGGGGAGGGGTGGAGGGAGCGGGGAGAAATGGAGGGAGGGGGAAGGGATGGAGGGAGGGGGGAGGGATGGAGGGAGGGGTAAGAGATGCAGAAGCAACGAAGAGAGCGGTAAGTGCTGGAAGAAGGAAGGTTTGAGGAGAAGCAAGACTGGCGGAAGTAGAGTAAGGCTGGGCTTTGAATTCTAAGGTTTAGCATGGGGGGGTGGGAGATGAACGGGACAGCACCTCACCAGCGGGCATGCCTCAAAAGCGGGCACGCCTCACAAGCGGGCACGCCTCACAAGCGGGCACGCCTCACCAGGGGGCAGTGCCTCACCAGGGAGCAGTGCCTCACCAGGGAGCAGTGCCTCACCAGGGAGCAGTGCCTCACCAGGGAGCAGTGCCTCACCAGGGAGCAGTGCCTCACCAGGGAGCAGTGCCTCACCAGGGAGCAGTGCCGAGTGTGATATGCTCCTCCAACACGGCCCACACCGAGGAGCCACCCGCACCACCACCACTGCCTTCATAAGCAGCGCCCACACATACACCTGCCAGTGCTCCTGCTCCCACGCCGCCGCCTGGTGCCGTGCCCAATGTGCCAATGCCAGCGCCAGCGCCTCTCCGTTGCCTCTTTGCCGGGCGGCCGTCTTCGTCTTCTTCCGCAGCATGTGGTGCTGCTGCTGCTGGTGGCGGTGACTGTGGTGATGGTGGTGGTAGGTGGTGCGGTTGCTGCATGTATCGGTAGCGAGCAATGCAGAAACACAATGCCACAGTGGCAGGGTGTTAGAAGTGACACAAGGAAACGAGGGATAAACGAGAGCCGAGCCGCAACGGGTGCGCTGTTGGATGCAAAATACAATGGGACGAGAACAAGAGAGCAAGAAGGGAGTATGGGGGAGAGGGGAGCGGGGACGGAGGGAGAGTGAATGTATGACATGAGAGGTGGCGGGCAAAGGTGGAAGGGAGGGGAGGAGATAGAGTGAGTAATGGCGGGAGAAGGGGGAATGTTGGGAAGGAGAGGAGGTGAGGCGATGGCACCTGCGAGAGAGGCGATGGCACCTGGGAGAGGAGCGAGGCGGCGAGGTCCATGATTGGCCAATGGGATTGCGCCACGGAGGATGATGCGTGCAGCGATGACCTGGACGCTGCTGTCACTGCCCGCACATCCAGACTGCAGCGAGGGGGTTTGAGGCGGAGAGGGAAGGCGGAGGGGGAGTGGGGGGAGTGGGGGATGCACGAGCAGCTCATGGGAAGCAGTGAGGCGTACAGGGAGGGAAGCAGTGAGGCGTACAGGGAGGGAAGCAGTGAGGCGTACAGGGAGGGAAGCAGTGAGGCGTACAGGGAGGGAAGCAGTGAGGCGTACAGGGAGGGAAGCAGTGAGGCGTACAGGGAGGGAAGCAGTGAGGCGTACAGGGAGGGAAGCAGTGAGGCGTACAGGGAGGGAAGCAGTGAGGCGTACAGGGAGGGAAGCAGTGAGGCGTACAGGGAGGGAAGCAGTGAGGCGTACAGGGAGGGAAGCAGTGAGGCGTACAGGGAGGGAAGCAGTGAGGCGTACAGGGAGGGAAGCAGTGAGGCGTACAGGGAGGGAAGCAGTGAGGCGTACAGGGAGGGAAGCAGTGAGGCGTACAGGGAGGGAAGCAGTGAGGCGTACAGGGAGGGAAGCAGTGAGGCGTACAGGGAGGGAAGCAGTGAGGCGTACAGGGAGGGAAGCAGTGAGGCGTACAGGGAGGGAAGCAGTGAGGCGTACAGGGAGGGAAGCAGTGAGGCGTACAGGGAGGGAAGCAGTGAGGCGTACAGGGAGGGAAGCAGTGCATTGCTGGGGGAGCTGGCCCAGCATCTATCTATGCCACGCTCCGTACACTCCAGAGTTGACTTTTGAGTCGACTCAAAAGGCAACTGGCCCAGCGTCTACCTATGTCACGCCCCGTACACTCCAGAGTGGAACGACGAAACTGCAGAGCACAAGTTAACCCACCCACCCACTATCCTCCCATCTACCCACCCACCATCCTCCCATCCACCCACCCACCATCCTCCCATCTACCCACCCACCCACCCTGCCACGCCAGCCAGCCATCCAGCCAGCACCCACCCAGCCACCCGCTCACTATCACCCGCCCCGCCACGCACCCTCGAAGCAGGCTGGCAGAGGCAGTGGTGCTAGCAGCAGCGGAGGAGCGCGAGAGTTCCTTTACCACCAGCGACAGCACCTCGCTCTGCACCTTGCTGCTGCCCCCTCCACCCCCTCCTGCTGCCAGCGGTGCCCCCTCCGCCCCCTCCTCGCCCCCATCATCGCCGTCGTGCAGTTCCCCTCCTGCTGTGAGGCGCACGAGCATGCGCGCAGAGAGAACGAGGCCCTCCTGAAGGAAAAAGGGCGAGGGGCGAGGGGCGGAAGAGCGTGTGAAGCCAAGCCATCACATGCGTTGCAGCAGCTGTGGTGTGGAGCCCGCCATCCCATCCCATGCAGGCTGTGGCTTGGCTCATCCTGACATTCTCATCTCATCCTGTGTGCTGTGCAGTGCCACGTTCTGTTCTGACCACAAAGCCCCTGAGTGCAGTGCACCCAGCATCCCCCTTGGAACGATGTCCATCATATGCAGCAGATGTGTGTCTGGGAGGGCTTACCGAATGCATCTGCGCCCGCCATCACATGCACCGCTATCTTGACTCACCATGACATTCTCGTCCTGTGTGCTGTGGCGCCTCAAAACTCATCTCGTGTGCAGTGCCACGTGCCCACCACAAAGTCCCCGCGTGCATCTAGCAACCCTGTCAGTGCAATGATCCATCACAGGCATCACCTGTGAGTCTGCGCTCGCCATCACATGCACTGCTATCTTGACTCACCATGACATTCTCATCCCGAGTGCAGTGCCACGTGCGCACCACAAAGCCCCTGAGTGCACCTAGCAGCCCCGCCAGTTCCCCCGCTGCAGCGAGGCCCGCCCCACACGCTGCGAGGAAGGCTGCCCCACACGCCAGCAGCTTGCGTGCCAACCGGCCGTCGTCACTGCGGTGTGGGGGAATGAGGAGAATGAGGAGCATGGGCACACTAAGTGGTCTGTCTGCAAGGCACACCGCGAGTCACCAAGCCCCTGATCGTGCCGCTACCCTGTCGGTGCACCTGCTGCGTGCGACAGGATGAAGGGGGCCCACCCAGCCCAAGAGTGCAGAAAGGATGAAAAAAAGGAAGGTGAGGTTATCAAAGGTGCAATGGGCTGTCACGCGCCAAACAAAGGGCTGCCACAGCTTTTCTGGTAGAATGCAAGCTGAGGTGAACATGCAAGCTGGAATGATCGGAACGTGGCGGCGAATGCAACCTCAGGCGTGTGAAGCTGGTAGCGACTCCACACTGCTGCTTTTGATTACTCTCAGAGGTGTGGGAACGGAGGCACGAGCACCCTGCCTGAGGTGAGTGAAGATGCGCGTGAAGCTGGCCGCCATGTCGCGCTGCTGCTTTTGCGAATTCTCAAAACTTACTCGCACCTGACATGTGTGAACAGCGGCAGGAGCACCATGCCTGAGGTGTGTGAATTCTCAAAACTCGCACCTGAGGTGAGTGAAGATGCGGGTAAAGCTGGCTACCATGTCGCGCTGCTGCTGCACCTTCAGGGAGGCTCCGCCCGCAGCACAGCGAGTCAGCGCCAGCACGGAGGAAGCGGCCTCCAGACTGGACACTGTAGCGGCACCAGCAGCAGGTGATGCTGACGTTGGCGGGAGGAGCGCTCCTGGTGTTGTGGTGGCGGTAGCTGCTCCAACTGCCAGCTCCAGGTGGCTCATAAAGAATGTGATGAGCTCTGCAGCCCACACGCAGGGCACAGAAGACACAGAGGGCACGCAGGGCACAGAGGGCACAGAGGGCACAGAGGGCACAGAGGGCACAGAGGGCACAGAGGGCACAGAGGGCACAGAGGGCACAGAGGGCACAGAGGGCACAGAGGGCACAGAGGGCACAGAGGACACAGAGGGCACAGAGGGCACAGAGGGCACAGAGGACACAGAGGGCACAGAGGGCACAGAGGGCACAGAGGGCACAGAGGACACAGAGGGCACAGAGGGCACAGAGGGCACAGAGGACACAGAGGGCACAGAGGGCACAGAGGGCACAGAGGGCACAGAGGGCACAGAGGGCACAGAGGGCACAGAGGGCACAGAGGGCACAGAGGGCACAGAGGGCACAGAGGGCACAGAGGGCACAGAGGGCACAGAGGGCACAGAGGGCACAGAGGGCACAGAGGGCACAGAGGGCACAGAGGACACAAGCGAGGAGGCAAACAAGTGATGAGTGGGAATGGGGAAGACTATGTGATGTGATATGTTGTGCAACGTTGCCCTCTCAGACTCTACGGCATGGCACGGTCAAATGAAAAGGTTCGGAGTTTACTTCGCAGCACAGCACCCTTCTCACCGTACAGCACCGCACTCATCTCACCTGAGAAAAACAGGCGCCTGGGGCAGGGCGGCATTGCTGCTATGTGCTGACACACCGTGCGCACCCCATCTCACCTCGCAGTGTCTTGGTGTGGGCGATGCAGAGCGCATAGTCGGGCACGGCGAGCAGGGCGAGCAGCGCATGGCAGTATTCGGTGAGAAAGGAGGCAGTGCAGCATTGCCGCTATCTGCTGACACACGGTGCGCACCACGTCTCACCTCGCAGTGTCTTGGTGTGGGTGATGCAGAGCGCATAGTCGGGCACGGCGAGCAGCGCGAGCAGCGTGTGACAGTAGTCGGTGAGGAAGGAGGGCGCCAGGGGCAGCGTGGTTGATATGTGCTGGCACAGTGTGCGCACCCTGTTGGCTAGGCGCAAGGGGTGGGCGCCCAGTGGGGGTGGGGGGACTGGGAAGGCAGGGGAGGGGAGCAAAGGAGGAAGGAGAATTAGACGATTAGTGTGGCTGCTATGTGCTGACACACCGTGCCCACCCTGGTGGCTAGGCGCAAGGGGTGTGCGCCCAGTGGGGGTGGGGGGACTGGGAAGGCAGGGGAGGGGAAGGGACGAGAGGGGGGATGTGGAGGCAGTGAATCGGGTCGTGCGGATGCTATGTGCTGACACGCCGTGCACACCCTGTTGCTGAGGCACAAGGGGTGAGCGCTAGAGGGGGTGGGGGTACTGGGGGAGGCAGGGGAAGCGAGGGGAAGAGCGGGGGGATGGAGGCAGTTGTCAGAGGTGCATTGGAGTTCCCCGATTGATCCTAGGGAAGGGTTACAGGCACGTTGGCATGGGGGGTTATGGGCGCACTCACCCGCTACACAAACAAGCCCTATTATCCCAATGGTCTAAGTGGTTGGGATTCTGACAGCAGTGAGTCGGGCAGCTGTGCGAGCCTCACTCACTGCATCCCTCCCTGACAGATGCATTTGAGAAATCTCAAAAATAACCCTCACACAGAAGCATCCCCATTCCCGACCCCCTCCACACCCAAACCCCTCCACCACAACCCCCTCACCCGGCACTCGTCGCACCTCTCTCATCTGCAGCCTCTACAGGCTCCTCAGCTCCCTCGCTGCTTGCTGCCTGCGTGTGCCTCACTCACTGCATCCACCCACCCACCCCCCTCTGCATGCAAACCCCTCCAACTCCCTCTCACCCCCCCCCTTCCTCCCCCCCTCTACCTCACAGCACCTCTCTCATTTGCCGCCTCTATCAGCCTCCGCAGCTCCCTCGCTGCTTCCTGCCTGTGGGTGCGGCGCGTGCGCGTGGCGTTTGTGGCGAGCACGTCCCTGTTGATGGCCGTGCACAGCGCTGCCACCACGGTGCACCACAGCTCCTCTGATGCATGTGTGTGTGTGTGTGTGTATGTGTGTGTGTGTGTATGTGTGTGTGTGTGTATGTGTGTGTGTGTGTGTGTGTGTGTGTGTGTGTGTGTGTGTGTGTGTGTGTGTGTGTGTGCCAGCAAGGGAGCAGGGTGACAGGGAAGGGCAACAGGGGAACAAGTCAAAGGGTGGTGTGTACGGTGTGGCGACCACGTCCCTGTTGATGGCCGTGCACAGCGCTGCCACCACGGTGCACCACAGCTCCTCTGTTGCGTGTGAGCGTGGACAACAGAGAAACAGGGTGACAGGGAAGGGCAACAGGGCAAGAGGTGGTGTGTGTGGTGAGGTGAGCACGTCCCTTTGGACGGCAGTGCACAGTGATGCCCCACAGTGCACCACAGCTCCTCTGTTGCATGTGTGTGTGTGCCAGCAGGGCAACAAGGCAACAGGGAAACAGGGCAATATGGCGACAGGACAACATTAGAATATGGCAAAAGGTGGTGTGTGTGGCGAGCACGTCCCTTTGGATGCGCGTGCGCAGCACTGCCATGCGCGTGCGCAGCACTGCCATGCGCGTGCGCAGCACTGCCATGCGCGTGCACCAGAGCTATCTCATGCGCCAACACGGCGGCAGGGGCACTAAGGCAGTGGGACAAAGGGAGTTGGGGAAATGGGGGAATGATTAGTGATCGATGGAGGAATGGGAGAATGGAGGTAATGGGGGATGGGGCAATGTTTCAATGGGGAAATGGGGAAATGCAGGAATGGTGCAATGGGGCAAAGGGGCAACGGGGCAGTACCCTCTTGTCAGTACCTCGGTCCAGAGCGGTGCAGAAGGACAGCATGCACGAGTCGTGCATGTAGCGATGCAGCCTCTTAAAGCCCTCCTGCCAGCACAGCACGAGAAGCACAGCACGAGAAACACAGCACGAGAAGCACAGCATGAGAAGCACAGCACGAGAAGCACAGCACGAGACGCACAGCACGAGAAGCACAGCATGAGAAGCACAGCACGAGAAGCACAGCATGAGAAGCACAGCACGAGAAGCACAGCACGAGACGCACAGCACGCGAAGCACAGTATACAAATAACAACACAGAAGAAAGGTATGGGAGAAGAGCATGAATCCAAGCAGCAGCAAAGGGACTGCTCACAACATATCCACCGCACACGATATCCACCGCACACCATATCCACCACACACCATATCCATCGCACAACATAGCCCCTGTGATAACGCCAGGTTCAGCCCCCTGTCGCCTGCCGCACCCCGTGCTGCTAGGCTCACTCCACCCCCACTAGCTGAACCACCACCTTCCGAGGCGCCCTAATACCCCGCATCACAACCCCTGGCCTGGCAGCACCCTCCCATTACCTCCGCGGTTCCTCGCGCGGCTTGGCCCTGACCGCGCCCAGCAGCGCCATCATCACCTCTTGAGAGATATGAAAAGCCCCTCCCGCAAAACTGTTGAGACGCCCCACAAGGCCCCCATTACCCGCCGTACCTCGCGCTGCCTGGCCTTGTCCGCGCCCAGCAGCTGCACCATCGCCTCCACCTCCGACCGCGCCACCACCGCCGCCATGCTGTACGCTCCTCACTCCTGCCGCCCCTGCACTAACAAAATGGAATCTAATCGAATCCGAATTCGAGCAGCGCGCAGTAAGCAGTTACATGGCGGTGAGCTGGCAGTAAGACGGCGGTGAGCTGGCAGTAAGACGGCGGTGAGCTGGCAGTAAGACGGCGGTGAGCTGGAAGTAAGATGGCTGTGAGCTGGCTGCAAGCAGGTCTTAGCAGCGGGGCGACGGTGGGCACTGCGATACAATCGGTGTGATTGCAAAGGAAGCAGCACGCGCGATGAGCGGAAGGGAAGCAGCGGGCGCGGTGAGCGGAAGGGAAGCAGCGCGCGCGGTGAGCAGAAGGGAAGCAGCGCGCGCGGTAGCGGAAGGGAAGCAGCGGGCGTAGTGAGAAGGAAACCTGCGTCGTTTGCGTCCTGCGTCTGCTATTCTGAACTGCAATCCTGGAAGGTATGATATCCTACATGCAAATCTCAACTAAGATGGCGTTCCCACAGTTTCCCGACACTCAAGTTTGCCCACCAGGCTCAAAAATTGTCGGGATGGTGGTCAGAGTGGGGTACTGCCCCACTCTGGACACCGCATCCTTGCGAGCCGTTACGACCAGATTGCGACCTTCTGACCAGTACACACGTAAAAAATCTAGTCGCACCCAATAGGCCTTCACATCTGACAATCGGATGGACTCAACGACTCGGTTGGGATTTCTGACTCCCGCGTAAAACGGTGCCCGAAAAATCGAAAACAAAAATTGCTATTGAATGGCGTTGACTCGCAAACCGGGCAGCTGAACTTCGGGCAATAGCACAGAAACGTTTGTTGGGTCGTAGCCCAATTCGGTAGGCGTCGTGGGCCGTCAGATGAGATCGTATACGGCTGTGGATGAACACTTGCACGACCAATTTGATGGGAAACTTGGTGGTCGAACTTCGAGCCGCATGTTGGCAAATTTCTCACAATTGGCCAAATTGCGAGCCGCCTGGGCGAACTTTCTTGTCAGGAAACTGTGGGAACGCTTTCTAAGGATGGTCAGGTCGCATTCGTTTTCAAACAATCTACGGACCAGTACCCTACTTTGCAATGTAACCAGACTTTATGGCTCATTTGCGAAACGTCCTGGCTCAATGAAAATCACGTCTTCATGACACCGCCAATTCGTATGCCAGATCGAGACTGGTCAATAAGGGCGTGTCTTGCTAGGCGGAAGTACATTCATTTTCGGGTACTATTACCCAATAACATCCTGTAACACGTGCAATTGACGAGCGAGCCAGACAGTCCATTCTGGATTCGTTTCTTGCATCGGTTTTTTTACGTGTCCTAGATCGTGTGCAGCACGTGCCATGCACTCGAGTACATAACATGTACACACATTTCTGGGTTTGCCAAGCTGTTCTCAGAAGTGCGAAACTCACCAGCACGTTTCTAACGAAATTAACGAATGCCCGAGGGCATTTTTCCCCGCCTATTTCTGGAACAGAATTTTTAAGGCGGCAGTGTTACCGCTCGCGACTTCTGAAACGGTACTCAGTTTTTGTTCGGGCGAGACTGTATGTCGGCGTGAAAGAAAGTGGGTTCGCGTCAGGCGGACACAAACCGGTTTCTGTACGTGCGGACAGCAGTTTTAGAAAAAAAAACACAATTACGTAAAGAAAAATGCAGTTGCCCAAAACACGCCCTGCAAGACACGCCCTAATGGCTGGTAGTAACAAGATATTCTTCGCACAACTGCATCGCAATTCACCTCACTGTTTGCGTCCACGCGCTTGCTAATAGCTCAACTGTTTGGCGAGGACGTGGTTACTTCGCAAGCAAGAGTGTAGTTTTTGAACTGCTCTCGTGGGGAACCTAGGTACAGTTTGACACGAGCTGTACATATATTTTGTAAAGCTTAGAACTGTACTGTCATCTGAGTTGATACGAAATCTGTCGGAACGAGCTGATTGTGGCGAACGTAACGTGTCGGGAACGTTGTTGTCGACGTGTACATACAAGCAGCCAAGGCAAAGTTCCACCCAGTCTTCCAAACAAGCGTAAACACACGAAACATGTACGTTATGAAGCTCGTGCAGAGGTCTAGAGCAAATTCGGAGTCAGAAGCTCTGGAAACTGTTTTGAACGCATCACGTATCTGTATCTCACACTCCCGTTGTTCTTGCTTTGCTTGAAAACACGGATTTGGAGTCTAATTGTATACGAAATTGAGCAAAGAAAATGTACAGGGTGACAATCAACTATTTAAGCACCGGGGGTGAAGTTGGTGGCATAGGCCCACGCGTTGTTCACGGTGGGGTCAGCCAGGTGGTCGTTCAGGTTCTCCAGGGGGCCCTTGCCGGTGACAATGGCCTGGACGAAGAAGCCGAACATCGACACCATGGCGAGGCGGCCGTTCTTCAGCTCCTTCACCTTCAGCTCAGCAAGCGCGTCAGGGTCGTCAGCCAGACCCAGGGGGTCGAAGGCACCGCCGGGGTACAGGGGGTCCTCAACCTCTTGGAAGCCCTCAAGGCCACCCACGCGGTAGCTCTCGACGGCACCCATAAGGATGACCTGGGTGGCCCAGATGGCCAGAATGGACTGCGCGTGGATCAGGCTGGGGTTGCCCAGGTAGTCCAGGCCACCCTCGGAGAAGATCTGCGCGCCCGCCTTGAACCACACGGCCTCGCCGAAGTTCACGCCGTTGCCGGCCAGCAGCTCGGGGGTCAGGCAGCCAAGCGCGCCGAGCAGAGCCCACCGAGCGTGGATGACCTGATGAGTGGAGCAAACGAATGAAAAATAGAGTTGGTGACGATGTGAACAGAAAATTGGAAGCTTGCTAAAGCAAGCCACACAACGAAGTGAAATTTTCTGGAAACTTCCTTATTCGGGGTTGTTGAAATTTCTAGTTATGAATCTGGTGAGGCTTACCTCCAGCTCGCGGTTCTTGGCGAACGTCTCGGGATCAGCGGACAGACCCGCCGTGTCCCAGCCGTAGTCGCCGGGGTACTCGCCGGTGAGGTACGACGGGGGGGAGGAGAAGGGGCCCAGGAACAGGTTGCGGTCGGGGCCGTAGAAGGCGCTGCTGGAAGCCGCCTTGGCGGTCTTCCTCATCGTCACGCGGGCCTCGACATTGTTCACCTTGGCGGCGAGCTCAGCGCTCTGGCCGACGAAGGTGGAGGGGAGCACAGCAGCGTTAGCGAGAGCAGCCATTGTGGAATATATTGAAGTAAAAGCTGCTGTATGAATTCCTGGATGAGTGGCTGACTGCTGAACTACTGGTGACTGGCGGCCGTTTTGAAGGCAAGTTCTCAGGGAGGAAGGTGGGCTTGAGCAGAGAAGAGAGGTGTTGTTGGTGCGATTGTGATTGGATGCTGACTCATCGCGGAGCGCGAGCATTCAAGGTGCCCAACGCTCCGAAATCTTCTCACCTCCTCACTCGGAATCCAGGCAATCTGAGCTCGGCCAATTGCGATGGACTATGCTCTGCAAAAATATTGATGGGTTGTGCTCGCCTGGTGCTATGCCTGGCGAAAGTGTGTGCGAGATGTTGAAGTTGTCGTCGCGACAATTCCCTCCGTCGCCATTGACCTGAGCAGCACAGCAAGACAGATTCTGCAAGCTGATTGGGCAGCGCAAATGGTTGAAGGTTGTATATTGATCGTAATCAGATAGGATGAACAAAGCAAATTGAATATGGCAAAACAAGCCAACCCCCTATTAGGTGCGTAATGTTAGAGTGAGGATCTTGGACAGGATAGGAAGTGCTTTGGTAGAGTTGGTAGCGGAAGTCTTGTAAGAACTCAGATCATAGTGAATGTAAATGACCAAGTTGATTAAAAGATAGAATACAAGGAATATAAATAGTCCTAGTCTAGCCATGTACTCTAAGGGGTACATTCCCTTATTATAACTGTTTTACAGGCATTTCTACAGTGACTCTGACAGTTGTACTGCCATTCTTGTTACCGAGTCGCTGCATGTAACCTGTACGGTTACGCCTGTTGCCATTCCTTGATGGTAAGTCAAGCGTCGGTCCAGATGGTCAACAGTCGCGACAGAGTCAGGTGCGATACTACTGCACCTACTGGAATGCCAAGTACAATTTCCTTCACACTCCAACACTCCCCTTCATTCCTGGAGGTGCGCCACGTGGCTTTTGCGAGTGACTCCGCATAGGTCCGAGCAGTACTGGAACTTCTGACGTGGCAGTTTCTGTTGGGCTGAGTGCCCCTTAGTATCTTTGGTAGGGTTAAACTCTGGGTAGAGTGATGTAGTAGCGGAAGCGTTTAAATGAAGTCCTTGAACCACCTTGCGCTGATATGTGAGGGCAAAGTAAGTTGATTAAAACAAGCAAGTACAAAGGTTTATATAAGAGTACAAAGAATACGAAGAGATATAATTAAACTGTTTTACTGTTGCGGTTCGATACAGTGCGACTCGGGCAACTGCTCAATGTCGAGTCAGTTGTGTGTCCTTGTATATTCTGCTTCAGATGACGAGAGAGCAATTAATTCCTGCTTGCTCGATTGCCAGGAGATCGGTCCGATAGGTTCGAGGCGGTAGATGTAGCCGGTGCGGGAGCGCCTGTTGTCGGAGTCGCCAGCGTGATCAGCGTCGACGTAGCCGATTAATTTAGTCGGTGTAGTTGTGTTCTTGTAGTAAGTTAGGCCGATCGTTGAGGTACTGACGAAGTAGTGGAGAGCGCGGTCGAGCTCCGCCAGGTGTTCTGCTTCAGGCTTCTTGAGGTAGGTGGCGAGCTGGCTTGCGGAGTATGAGAGGTCGGGGCGGCAGGTGATAGCTGCGAAGAGAAGGCATCCTAGCTTTCTCTGGTAGTCGCGTATCCCGGCGGATTTGAGTAGAGAGGATCCTTCCTTGTGGTTTCCTGTCGCGTGGCGGTAGGGCGTAGAGATGGTGGTAGGTGTGAGCGCGAAGCGTTTGGCGATGGTGTCGGCGTACTTAGCGGCGTTGAGGTAGATCGCGCCTTCTTCTTCCCGAATGTTCAAGCCGAGGTACTGTGTGACGGTAGAGGAGA